AATGAACATGAAACATTATTTTGAGGCAATTAAGACATAAATGCACGGAAGAACATGACCATAACTGAAGGTGACAGAGCATGACTTGGTGCCGCCCGCGGCCACGCGCGATAAGCGTTGGCGACGGCTTTGGGCTATTTAACACAGAAAACCACATTTTGCCTCGACCAACATCGACTAACTGGGCATGAAATGATCTAAACTGAACAAATAAACATGAATTGTACGAGAGTTGCCGGGTAGAAAAAAGAAATTACTCAATCACGATTCAACTTAAACATATTCGAACTTTAACATGGCAATACTATAACCTCTTGAACATGAGTCGAACACTTCAGCTTAAAATGAACTCATTAACATGAAAATAGGCTGAGAATAGTTATACCTCCTTGAGTGTTCGACGGAACTCGCAACTGATCGTAGTCTAGCGTGCGCGTCCGCGTGAGCGGTAAGCTATTGCCGTGCGTGGTGTGCGATGAAGCGCAAGGTAACAGGCTGAGCTTACTTGCTGCTGAACTTAAGGACTAGGGTATATGTATTGGCTGGTGCTACGCGTGAACGTGTGCCGTGCTTGGGTGTGGCCTTGCTGTGCGACGGTCGCCGTGCGAGGTGCGCTGCTTGCCGTGCGAGTGATATTAGCTAAGGTACTTTGCTGCTGAATTTTGTTAAGTGTTGGGAAGATATATAAGCTCAATTGTGTGGCAAATTTCGGTCCCAACACCCCTTTTTATACTCAAGGCCGAATGGAATGTGGATGATGTAAGTAAGATGTGGCTTTTCCTAAGCTTACCACTTGCCTTCACCTAAGATGGCTTAGGATGACTAATCATCCTTTAAGCCCTCCCATCTTTCCACGTTGATTACTTAAGAGGAAGGATAATATTTTGTTCTTCAACACTTAGGAAAATACATTACAAGTTGGGACATTTCCCATACCATAAGAACCGTACGGCTTTTAGCCCTAATAACATGATTAATATTAATTAATCACTTAACTTATGTTTAATTATTTAATTAAACATAATGCTTAATTACCAAAATTATTCCAAACGTAAACGGTACGTCGAAAATAATTTTCGGTAATCTCGAC